TCGACATAAGAAGGCAGTTTGCAAATCATAGGCACAATGAAGAAGGACAAATTGGTAGAAAATGCTTCACATTTTGATTGGATTGTCAGCTGACAACTGTGATTAATCTGGGTCACGCTTTCGTTAAACCCTAAAACCTCCATATTTACACTATTTCTAGGTAAATTCAACCTTTTAAAAGCCGACTCCGTTATCATAAATCATAAATCATAAATCTTTATTTGCAAGAATCACGGTATAAAAAGATGTTACAATTTATATAGTGCAGTCGTGTTTCGCTAATAATAGCATGCAAATTATAATTTTAAAATGTTTATACAATATTAATAATTATTTAAATCTAAAAAATCTTTTAAGTCGTAAATGCATTCAATTTTTAACCAATCATAGAAATGTTTCTTATATAGTCTTTCGCTTAATAATTTAAATTCTTTAGGTATTTTATTATATATTTTTACACACATATTAAGGCAGCTTTTGTTATATTTAACGAGCCTAGGAATAACATCTAGGACAAGTTTGTCTGGGTCACGTCGGTTTCGAGGATATATATCACTTGCTTTAACAAATAATGACTTATTTTTAAAAACGAACAAGCCAGTTTCATAAATGTATAGTGACGGGAGGGGTAATATACCAAGTCTTTTAAATAGCGGTCTACAGGATTCTCTTGGTGATATTCCGCATATTGCACGAATACATTTTTTTTGGGCAACGAATGCTCTATTTCGGTCAGTACCATTACCCCATATAATAAGTCCATAGCGTAAAATAGACTCTACGTATGCGTGGTAAGTTGCAATTGCTGTTTTAATATTTGTAATGTTTTTGACTTGTTTAAGGACATATACAAACTTATTAATTCTACTGCATACGTTATCAATTTGTTCTTTCCAGTTTATATTTTCATCTAACGTTATTCCCAGAAATTTTGTACATGTAGCTTCTTTTAGTTTTGGTATATTAAATTTCATATTATGATTGGAATTGATAGATTTATTAAATTGTATGTAGTGGGATTTATCTAGATTAATTTTCAAATTATTTATGTCAAGCCATTCTATTAATGTGTCAATTGTATTATTAATGTCATCTTCATGATTTCTAATTGTATTATTATTTTTATTACATGTCACAATAATTGAAATGTCATCAGCGTATAGAATACATTTATGATTCGTGATGTCGACAATGTCATTAATATATAATAGGAAAAGAATCGGTCCTAATATACTTCCTTGCGGAACACCGAATTTATTATATTTATATCCAGATGAATAAGATGTCAAGTTATTGTTTTTATCTATTTTATCAATGATAACACATTGTTGTCTACCATTTAAGTATGACGATAACCACTGAAGTACTAGTCCTCTGATCCCTACTGTCTCTAATTTTTGCAATAATATATCATGTGCAACAAAATCAAAGGCCTTTGAGAGGTCAAAGAATAATCCTGTTGTCAATTGTCTATAGTTTATGTAACTAAGTATTGTTTTTACTAAAGAAAACATGGCAAGTGAGGTCGATTTGTGTTTTTGAAACCCGTATTGTTCGCTTTTAATTATCTGGTATTTATCACAGTAATCAACTATTCTTTTATACATACATTTTTCAAAAATTTTGGCCAAAATAGGTATCAAGGTGATTGGACGATAATTTTGAATATCATCCTTTCTCCCTTTTTTAAATAAAGGTTTTATGATTGAAAACTTTAGTTCTCAAACTTCTGGGAATTTTGCTGATGAGAATGATAAATTAATAAGATGTGTCAAAATTTTGGATAAATTGTCAGCGCATGATTTTAAAATTTTCGTGTTAATTTCGTCATATCCCTCTGAGTTTGTATTGTTTAATGATAATATTTCCATTTTTACTTCACTTTCTGTCATAAGTTTTAAGTACATTGAATTCACTTTTGAGTTTCTACTTAAATCGTAGTTTACATTCAAATTTTTTGTTGAGGTGTGATTTGTGGCCGTATCTATAAAATAATCATTTAAAGCAGTAGCTATTTCTATGGGATTTGATAATACGTTATTTCCAACTTTAATGGTGTCTATATTATCCTTAAAGTTCAGATTATGAATTTCATTTTTAATAATTCTCCATGCTGCCTTGCATTTGTTATTACTATTATTTATATATTTAATATTATCAATTTGTTTGGATTTATAAATACATTTCTTTAAAATATTAGAATAGTTTATATAGGTCATTTTATTGCGTGTACTTTTTTGCTTATAGTATGTGTATCGAAGAACCCGTTTAGTTCGACAACTCTTTTTTAATCCTTGACTTATCCATTTATTTTTCCTTGTGTGACAATTGTTTAATTTTAGTTTTATTTTTGGAAAACATAGATTGTAAAAAAGACATATCAATTCGTGAAAAACGTTAAAGGCCTTATTCAAGTCAGTTTCCATATAAATTTCATACCACGATAAGTTTTGTAGACAATCTTTAAATTTATTAATATGGTCCATGTTATAATCTCTCCTAAAAGTGTTGTAAGATGGTGCCGATTTTAATTTGTTTTTTACTGGAAATGTTAACATTTGTGCTGTGTTATGATCCGAGAGATTAAGTGGTAATATAGTTGCAGTGGCGTTTGGAATGTTACTCAATATGTGGTCTATACAAGATAATTTTCGCGTAGGAACGTTATAAAGTTGGATTGCGAGCCCGAATCGAGAAGTGCACGCAGTGTGCTGGTGATTATTGACGTCGAGTACATCAATCAATGCAGTAGATAAAAAAACAGTTTGTTGTAGGTATGGCTGTGTTAAATCCATATTACGGCTGGTATGCAAATTAACCGATTGTTGTGGGGTCTCAATACGTGATGTTGGAGTTGTATTTGTGGCGGGCTGTGGGTTAGTGTATAATGTAGTTAGTGGTTGCTGTTGACCTTGGTTGTTTGATTGGTTATTAGCATGATGGGAATTTCCTATATGTAAAAGTGTATGATCTTTACCTTTACAGGTTCGGCAAAGAGTCGCCTGGCAGTTTGCTACGATGTGGTTCGCTCCCAAACAATTAATGCAAAGGCCTATTTTTCGGACTGCGCGAAGGCGTGACGTCACATTTAGGGCCAAGAACTTCGGGCAGTATTGAATGTAGTGAGACTCTTTACAATAAGGGCATTGATTGCTAAATACCTTAGATTTAGGGGATGGTTTTGGAACTGTACCATGACCCGGGGAGGACGCGATCACCAAGGCCTTCCTTGTTCCATTCGCTTCCGGTTGCTCATCCGGCCTGTCAGAACCCAGGGATTCCAGCAGGTCAGCCTGAGCGCGCAGAAAAGACTTGAAATCCTGTAAATTAGGCAATCCACGTGAGTTGGTTTTTTCTTCCCATTTACGGTGTAAGAATTTATCAAGTTTAGAACTCAAGAGGAAAATCAATATAACATCCCAGTTTTCTGTGTTAACCGACAACTTGTTTAAGGTTCTGAGATGCTTCGACAGGTTATCAACTAATGTTCTCAAAGCTGATGGTGTTGATTGAATTGTTTCAATACTTAAGAGTTCTCGCAAGTGATTAGTGACTAGTACCTTGGGATTATTGTAACGCTCACAGAGTAATCGCCAAGCGATGGCATAGCTTTCTTCACAATAGTCCAACGAAGCTATTACGTTAAGAGCAGATCCGGTCAGACATCCTTGTAGGTATTTTAATTTTAATATAGGTTTTAGGTTACTGTCATTAACAACGGCATCAAATTAGTCCCTAAATTCCAACCAATTGGTAGCGTTTCCATCAAAAGTTGGTAACTTAATTTCAGGTAATTTTACAGAATTAGAGTGTGGTTTGTCACTACTATTGGACGAGGGTGGCGCTGTCTGTGGTTTGCTATTTTCAAATTCTTGCATAAGTTTTTTACACAAAGAAACATTGGTATAATAGTTGTTCTCAAAGGCCTCTTTCTCCTGAAGTTGCACTTCATAATCCGTGCAAGCAGTTTCTATTAAATCTTGGATATTTTCATAATCAACAAGTATTTTAGTTATCTTAGAATATCGTAACTGTAAGTCGAGGTATTTTTCAGCAGAAAGAGGGCCCTCAAGCGCATTAAGATATTTAACAAAAAGGGTCAATTTTCCCTTGATAATCCCCCGTTTTTTAACTAATTCCTTCAAATCGACTACTGGCTCATCCATTGTAGTACAAAAGAACCTTGGTTTTGAGATAATCAGTACTATACAGGTAGAAAAAAAGCTCACTATTTAGATAGGCAAGGCTACTTATCTTATTCTTCGATGTCACTGGTGAATGTTGGTTGTTTGTGGCCACCGCGTGGCCTATTTGTAGGTTATGTCGATCGACATCGACACAGACGAAGTTCTTGGTAAATGCCGTTTTTCGTAGTTTTTCTTTCCCTGTTTGCCTCGTCTTCAACAAATATGGGTTTATTCCGAAGATCCACAGAAGGACAGCAGGGCCCAGGCTATCTCTGGCCCCTAGTCGTGCGCCACGTCTTCCGATGAAAAAATATCTCCATTGCGCTTTTGATTTTTCAAATGGCCGGTTCGGTTTCGTGTTTGCACTCTATTTCTTCTGTGTTTGATTAATCCTCGGACGGGAGAATGGGTCACCAATGTAAAAAGTGTTGAGGATGAGCAGGGAAACTCCTTGGTTCGATTTTGGTATCGTTTATTCTGCTGTCCATAGACGAATACAAGTAAATTCTAGAACACTGTTCTCTCCATAATACAATAATAGATGCCCTCTAGTGGCAACAAGTTAAACTAGGTACTTACATTACAGTTGTCAGTAAAGCGCCATCTGTTCGAAACGAGTGGGACCACAAGAAAGAGCCACTTGGCTCGTACAGATGTGTAATAAGGAAATATGTTGTTAGTAGTTGGTTTCAGCCTCCAACAGATGGAACAACCAACTACTAACAGTACGAGAAGCGTAACAGACTGGTTTGTCAGATCCTATTGGACCTTGTGACAGTACGGTACCAATGGCAAAGTTAGAAGCATCTGTCGTTAGGTTAAACTCTTTAGTTTTTCGAAAGCGTTAACGTAATTATTGTCTATTGTTACCGTTTTGCCTTTCTTAAGACACTGAGTTAATGGTTTAGTAATACGAGCGAAATCCGGAATGAACTTTCTGTAATAACCGAGAAGGCCTAAAAATTGTTTAATTTCTTTTGGATTCTTTGGAATAGGGTATTTTTGAACAGCCGAAATTTTATCGGGGTTTGGTTTAATACCGTCCCTGGTGATAATATGACCGAGGTAAGCCGTTTCTTGTTTGAGAAACTCCGATTTGTCCATTTGAATTTTAAAGTTGGACTCGCGAAATCTACTAAATACTTTGTCTAGGTTAACCATATGTTCTTGGAGCGAAGTGCTGAACACAATTATGTCATCTAGGTATACAAGGCATATATGATTTTGTAGCCCCCTTAAGACATTGTCCATAACTCTTTGGAAAGTAGATGGACTGTTTTTCAGGCCCATTGGCATGCGAAGAAATTCGAAATGGCCATGCTCAACATTAAAAGCGGTTTTCGCTATGTCCTGAGGGTTCATTTCGACCTGATAAAATCCGCTTGCTAAGTCTAAGGTGGTAAAATATTGGCACTTCCCTAATTTGTCAAGAACATCACTAATATTAGGGATAGGATATTTATCGTCAAGTGTCTTTTCGTTTAATTTGCGAAAGTCAACTACAAGACGCCACTTATGTTTGCCAGAAGCATCTACTTTCTTTGGCACAACCCAGATGCGTAACCTCCATGCAGATTCGGAAGGTCTTACAATACCCTGATCTAACATTTTGCTTATTTGGTCCTTAACTTCTTGTCTATGTTTGAACGGATAACGATAGCTTTTAGTGTGTATTGGTACTTCGTCCGTGATTCGAATCAGATGTTTTATTCTATTTGTGAACGTGAGGCTTTCACCTTCTATGTAAAAAACGTCCGAGTAACGAGAGCAAAGTGCTACTAAATTAGCCTTTTCCTCCTCGTTTAGATGGTCGGTACGTAATCGCGAAACTACGTCTTTTGCGCGTGCTGATAATTGTTCGGTACGCGTGCACTCAATATTAAATAATACCGCGTGGGCTGGTCGGTCGAGTGAAAATAATTTATCCTTTGGCGTTGGGTTCTCTACCTCAATATAACCGCGATTATTGACGACAGTGGTAATACATTCGTGAATAATACAATTACATAGAACCTGCTCCGTAATATAGGCTTCGCCATCCTTTGTATCCAATGGAACTCTAATAATTTTCGAAGAGCTGGCAGGTATTATATCTTCGTATAAAATAACATTACGCGAGTTATATAATTTTATGGCATTACATGCTGAATGCGTTATTAATTGTCCCTCCTTTAAATCTATACGGGCCTCCCATTTACTTAATAAGTCCAAACCTATGAAGCCGTCAAAATAGTCATGAAAGCGATAAACAAAGAATTTCACTTTATCGGAATCATTAAATTTAGAAAAACAAGGTAACGTTATAGAATAATTATTACGACTGGTCGTTTGTTACTTCGAACGGGTCAAAATTAAGTGGGAAATCGCTGAAAATTTTTCCTACAGCTTCAGGGCTAATAAAAGACTAATTCACGCCAGTATCTATTAAAAATTTTAATGGGGGGTTTGCTATCTGTATATATGGTAATTGTCTTTGAGTCTGAAGATTTAATTCTATTTTGGTTTTTTTTTATAGTCGAATCGTCCTGAAAATCCTGATTGGAGTGTTTAGACTCTACTTGTGATTGATTTTGAATATAATAATTATTATCTTGGTTTTCGTCAGTCGAGTCATAATAAGAAAAATCAGAAGCGAAATCCGGGGCATAAGCATTGTTAAAGTAGGTATAGTCGGTGTAGTATGCGTACTCGTATTCAGGGTTATACTCGTAATATGAATCGTTATACGCAGCGCATTCGTTTGTATTCATTTCGTGGGATTTAAAATAGTTTGTTGGTGGCGGATTGCCAAATTTATTCCAGTCATGTCCTGTCAACATTTTTGTGTGTGGTAAAGCCTTGGGAATAAAACGCTGGACTCCACTCATGGGCTGAGGTTGTTGATGGTTATTTCGGGGTGGTAATCGGAACACGTTACTTCGCTGGTTGTAGTTAGGAGGGGGTGCACCGAACATGCGCTGGGTATTAGTTGGCATGCGCTATTGGTGTGGTACGGGTTGAGGAAATTTGAACGGTTGAGGTGGGGGTCCGTAAGGTCTTTGCCCAACAGGAACTGGCCAATTAGGTACTGGAGTTGGGAAAAGTTGATGTTGAGGAATGGAAGGTGGTGTGGATGGTGGAATGAACTTGAGAGAATGTTCACTTTTTATGGAGTCATTGCGCTGTTGGAGATACATAATGTTTAATTCCTCTTGTACATATTCTAAGGCTCCCTCTATTGTCGATGGTCGCATGCAACGTATACGAGATCCTAAAGGTTCCTTTAAGCCGCGGACATATGCTTGCATTGCGACTTTCCTATAAAGGTCCTGTTTGGAATCGATGGTGGTCGGTATGGTCTCATGTAAAGACACGTAAGTCATTATCGTGCTAAACAAAGTTTGGCAATGGTAGTAAAATTCTTGTGGAGAGAATATGACGGCGAGCCTGTCGAGATTCAGGCTCCCGAGAACGAGTTACTCTAGGATGATAAATCTTGAAGGGAAAGATTTAAACTTAGGGATAAGGGAGAGCAACACGAGATCAATTCAAGTGTACTCACGTGGATTTCATCTGGTTTCTCTCGATGAATCGAAGGCTGGATTCTCCTCCTGGTCTGCAGCTGGTCCGTAGATCCGGATACTCTTCGAAGGGACTTGATAGCCGCCGGGGTGCTTCACGGTTATGAAAAGATATTCCCTAACTATCGCAAAACCACCCCTGAGTGTCTTACCGACTGCGCCAATTACGTTAGCTGCGGCCGGAGGTTCGAAAAAAAAACAAATTTACTTATAAAATATATTTAAAATGAAAATTACAAATTATGTTACTATAGCTAATTAATCTAACCGAATGAGCCTCGTGTAACTGAGTACGTGATATTTTATACATCCGGCACGTGGCTTGAATTGATGCGCCTGCATTCCTGTCGGATTACATAGCAACTGTTCTAGGTACATAGTCAGCGATCGTCATATCATAGGTATATGTAACTCGTTTTTAATATATTATTGACAATAATAAAAACAATATTTTCCTGAACATTTAACTATAGTAAAATATGTAAAATGTCGAGGCGGTACGTTGAAACATAAATAAGTCATAAGTATACTTGTAATTAAGTATGTAAGTATTCGACAACAGTATAGTATATCTTCAATTAATTTCTGTAAGGTATACAGTGTGTCAGCAGTGTATATAGATATGTACAATTAAAAAAATATAAAAATAATATTAATATAAACCAGTGTATAGGGCGCAGTTTACCCCTTCGGAACAGTAGTATGACTATTCCGACATAATATAGATTTATAAATAAGCGATTAATTAGTATTTACCGTAAAATTACATTTAAGTTATTTGTGTGATCCAAAATAGGGTATAGCAAAATTTTCAATAGAAAAAATATTCTCTGTTTGTACATAACAAACAAGAAGTAAACTATGTAACGATACATCAACTTTATAGTATTGCTTGTTCGGGTAAAAATTTTTAAGCATAGGGCTAATTTACCTGCTTTGAGTTTGAGGTCATACGGACAATAGAAAAATTTAATCATACGGACCCAACCAGTGGTTTCAAAACATTTTATAGTTTTAATAGATTTTGTTGCAACTTTTTCAAATACATGACATGAACTTATATCATTTTTTGAAGGTCCCTTTCTGTCTTTATTGATAGGATGGGAGATGTGGTATTTTTCAGTACAAGGATTTTAGAGTTCTTCACCCATACGAACTGGAATTTCTTTTCTTAAGCAACAGTCTTAGTCTTATTAAGCAAGGAAAAAATTTTGTTGTAGGCAATTAGGTGGTCGTTCAAAAAGATACGGTTGTTGCCTTGTAGACCTATAGCAATGGTGGTGAGCGGAGACATGGACGAATGTTTTCTGGCAGCAGTGACGAAGTCCTCCTTTACAAAACGATTGTTGAAACATACAATTATAGGCTTAGTGCTGTTTGGATCTCGATTAGGCACCCTAGTAACGTAGTTAATTTGGCTTTTAGAGATAGTGAAATCAACTTTAGAGCTAATGGAAATAACAATATCCAAAAGGTTTTCGCCTTTCTTCATGGGCACTCCTTTTATTTCCGCATTATTTAATCGAGCCCATTCGTCTTTAAACTGTATTTGAGTCTCAAGTTTCTCAACTTTCTGGCATAGATTAACAACTTTCTCCTTATCACTTTCGACTTCTTTAACACGTGATTCAAGGTGCACAATTTTTTTCGAGAGTTCTTGGATGACGTTGTTCGTTTGGACGTTAGATTTTTGGAGCTGAGTGAGATTATCCTTCAGGTACTTAATGTTCTCAACAATAGAATCAAGAGAATTAAGTTTATTTGCAATATCCTTTATTTCCTTCATCAATTGTATTGGAGTTATCTCTTGGTGTTCAAGATCGGTTGGGGCCAAAGGTTTAGTAGTAGATGGCTGCGAGGGAGATTTACCTTGTTCTTATTAACACTTTGAACACCGCCAGGTCATTCTTCAATCACCTAATTTACGGTATACCGGTTCACTGATACCTGCGCAATGGAAGTGAAGACAACTCTTACAAAGACTGCAATTCGCTCCATCTGCAACTTGTTCCTTGCATTTACTGCAGGTCGGCATAGTAAGCAATTCACGTAGTTTGAGAATCACTAACAACAAAACGTAATTTCACTACTATTGTATACGTTATAGAAAGTTCAACTTTGCGAGCGTCGAGTATACGGTAGTTTTTTATTTAGAAAAATTTAGGAGATGATTTTAAATTGGAATAAGGTAGTGCGCACAACTGTTTCGCTCGTTGACATACAATGAACTTATACTGCACAAACAAGCAGGAGTTTCTAGATATACCCTCCATTCCACCTCGATACAACCGGGTATTTTATAGACACTCCGACACGGCTGTCCTGACTTACAACCGTCCTCGGGCATGTATATTTATGCATTCCTGTAACCAACACCAATTCGTCCGCTCGTCCATCCTGACATGATACATATTATTAGTTCGCAAAAAGAATTATTAGATGGCGCTGCTTGTTCTACTATGGCGTCATCAATCCATGACACGTCATCCCTGACTAGCATCCGTACTCGGTTGCAGTGCCTGTAGACAAAATATGCTCAGAGATTAATCTAGCTCGGCAATTCTGCCAATAGAAACAAGTTCGATTCCAAATAGTACTAAACTTCTCCTCAGTCTAAGTACAATAGTCAACTGCTATAGTTGACAATGCCTTGTTATTAAGGCTTCATACACAGTGCTTCCTGCATAACATGATCTATTGTGAAAGGTCGATTCCAAATGGTACTTTACTTCTCCTAAGTCCAAGCGCAATAATCAACTGTCATAATTGACAATGCCCTGTTATTAAGGCTTCGTACACAGTGCTTCCTGCACAACATGATTTATTGTGAAAGGTCCAATCAACAAGTTACAACACAGTCATTCTAACAATTTTGCTACTTTTTACCATAATTCATAAGCAATGCATATTCAACTCGTGAACGATTCTCGAAACTTTAGCACAATATATGCTACAATACATGAAACGCTCTGTGCACCAACACAGACAGAAATCGCACCATCGATTTCCTACAGACCCATCGCTACATGTTACTCATGAGGTGCGGTC